AATCTGTTTTTTTATTTTATTTTCCCTACAAACATCCAGTTGTTAAATGTTTCTCGTTTATTCTGATTTTTTTTTTATTTTTTTTTAGTTGGGCTTTTATATTTTAGGAGGTGTGTGTGTGTGTGTGTGTGTGTGTGTGTGTGTGTGTGTGTGTGTGTGTGTGTGTGTGTGTGTGTTTTACAGACTTTCCCTCCCTTCATAATCCTCGATAACCGTTCATACTGTACTGTATTGTGTTTTGTATACACTGACGTCATCATTCGTGTGTTGATAGTTCTTGATTTGGCTTCAGTTATCTCATGTGTTTGTACTTGTTTTCCTCCTCATTTGCCTTATCACCTCTTCCGATCTTAATCCTGTCCTGTCAGTCGGTTTCCCCTTACCTCTCCCCCACGTCTGTGTCTTTCCTTTCTTACCCTACCTTACCACCTCCCCCCCTCTCTTTACCCCTCCCATTACCCTTTACTCCTCCCATTACCCTTTACTCTATCTCCCTTTACCCCTTTCGTCTTATCTCTCCTCTTTCCTCAGTCTTCTCCGCTTACTGCTCCCCTTTCCTCAGCGCCCTTCATCCTACCTTCCCTTTTCCCTTCCCTCTCCTCGTCCCCAAGCTTCCCTCACCCTCACCCCCATCTCCCCTGTGCCTCCCCTCCCCTACCCCAGCCCGGCCCTTCCCCCTGCCAAGCGGAGGCATAAGTCACTGGTGGTCAGAGTTTCCCGAATATGGACTGGAGGTAATTTGGGAAAAGACGGAGTGTGGAGAACACGCCAGGCTCCTCGGCCACGGTGGGAAGGATAACACGATAATTTAGGGAGGTAGGGATAGAGAGGATAACAAACAGGTGAGGGGAATACCGTGAGAGGGAGAGGTAGGTCGTTGGTGGAGAGAGAAACAGAAGTAGTCGAGAGATACAACGTTAAAGGTGTGTTGACATGTAGGGAAAATTTTCTACATAGACCGTAGGTAGGGATCGGTACTGTTCGAGTTAGTTTTCTCATTACAGTATAATAGAAGTTGGTGTGGCTTCCCTCTTATGTACCGTAAAGTGCGCCAGACAAAACACTGAAGTTATCATTTATTTGTTCATTGTAGCTACTTAAGTTTGTGGCTGTGTTCTTGATGCGCGTGTTGTTATGGGTGTAGTGACGTGTGTGAAATGATTAGTTAGCTCAATTATTGTGGTGAGGATTCTGGAGAGACTTGCGCTTCTTTTATGACCCATCGCAAAGTACAGTGAAACAGCGCTACCGTGAAGAGTTCAAAAGCATGAACATTTAGAGTGGCACGAAACAGCCGTTCGTTGTGTTTTTGTTATTCTGTAACTGTCTCCTGGTAGCTTACTCGTTTCCGTCCTTGCATTGCTCCGGTGACCAACTTTAACCCTACATAGTTAAATTCTGTGTCCGTCAAACAAGTCTCACCCTTTTCTCCTCATCCCCAGTTTGTCACTCACTCCCTGCCTACATGACACAATGCTGAAAGCCTCCCTCTCTCTCTCTCTCTCTCACTTTTCCTACAAGTGTCACTTCCTTCCTTTTCAAGACATATAAATCCTCTTATTTCTCCTTCTTCCAACATTAGCCAAAGATCTTCGCAACCTGCATTACTATCTATCTGTTCCAGGACCACATCACCTTCCTTTCCTTCGATTCCTCCTCCCTCACAACCCCTTTTCCTCCATCTACCATTAGCACTTCTTGCTCTTCGCCGTGGTCCGGTCAGCTCCTAGTAAGAGGTACTGGCAGGTACTGTCTCACTTGACTTTTTTTTAACAACCACTGTGGTAACCTTAACAGAGGTTCCCAAAATGAGACAGTGTTAACTTGGGGTTTCCTGGTGTTGACAGACCCATAACTGACCCTCGGCGACTATTAACTAGGTGGAAGATGAAAGTGAGTGTCCAGTTCTTTATCAGAGTCGTAATGTTGTACATACAGATAGAATGTGAAAGATGACTACCGTAGTATAGTTTGATGAAGATATTAAGGAGAATGGTGACACCTTGGAGGATAGTGCCAGGTGCAGTAATACTTGGGTGGAGGGTATAGAAACGTGTTGCAGACAGACTAAGAGGCTGAGGGAGGGTGAGCGGAAGATACACTGGCGTCAGAGGATGAAGGAAGGGAGGTATGGAGGTTAGATATAATTGTAGTAATGTTTAGGTAAATATTTAAGCTTATGGTTTTCTTGTATTACCAACCTTTGTCGTGGTGTAAGTAGGAGGTTCTACATTACTACGTGTTGACATTTAAGGAAAAAAAATAGCGTTGGTTATATCACACCTCGGCCAATATTTACAATCATGAAATATATGTTAGGCATAAATAGTGTGACGTCACCCCTTGGAGATGTTAAGAGCATATTTGTTATCCCTCCATTCAAATTGATTTATGCTTGTGTTTATTGCTGTTCTCACGCCTCCGCCTTCCCCTGCCCTGTGTCGCCTCACCTGCCCTGAGGTCATCAGCTGGGAGGGGTTGACGCCCCAGTCAAGCATTATTTCCATAGCCAGCCCCCCCTTCCCACCCCTGGTCTGTTACCCTGTTTTTGTATGTCTCTCTTTGACAGTTTGTGAATGTCAGCTGAAAATTCTCGTCTTTTTTTCACCTCGAAGAAGTTTTGTATTTAATTAAGCTTGGCATGAAACTTATCGCTTGCGGTTCACATACGAAGCATGATTTTTCCAAATGTGTCCTCGCTAGCCGTGTTGTGTGTTGGTCTATGGAGCACTGAGTCTGCCTGGTGATGAGATAATGTTTATCATAAACAAAGTTAAATAACTTTTCCGTTCGGTAGTTCTTATTTTAGATGGTAACTACTTTAACACCGACACTTACATTTTTAAGTAATTTTCATAAAATTTCTTTCAGGAATAGACACCACCGATAATTTTATTATTACTACTTACTTATTGTTAGTATTATGGTAACTTCTTATATCAGTATTAAGGCGTTCTCCTGCAAGTTAATGGTCCCTTGTTCGATTCTCTGCCAGAGTCGAGGAATGGGTTCCCTTCTTGATAACCGCACTAACGCAAGGTGTGTAGTCACGAGCTATTGTTCATTATCAAGCCAGTCCCCGAACTGTTTGTGTACTCATAAATGGCGCTATAATATCCCCCTTTACGTTAGGTGCGGGTTTAAACGTGTAAATGAACTTTATCATGACTGTACACCCCGCAGGTTACATTAATGGCCACCTCGCTGAGGGTCAGGACAACATGAGTGTTGTAGCGTCTTGCCAAGGTTGGGATAACCCATTAGCTGCTGAATCAATGGAAGCAACGCCGCTTGCCTCACTGTGTCCTCAAGGCCTGGGGAACTCATACCTTTCCTTATTAATGTTAGTTTCTCCCACCGATTCCGCAAATTGGGAGACAGCGGTGGCGTGCGTCTCTGTATGTGTGTCAACATTCGCCCGACTTGGTGATTACAATTTCTCGAGCAAAATAGGGCTGGAATTTTAACTGAGCGTCGAATGTAGATATATCTCCAGGAAATCTCCTAGGAGTTCGATAATCAATATTTTCCATCATTACTGTTCAAAATTGCGGCCCTTTCGGCTTTGTTACGTCTCGGTGGGGAATTTGGCCATTTTAGTAGCAAACACATTATTAGTATTGTTGTGTGCCTGCGTCTCCCATCTCGCTATCGCCTCTTCCTCTTATCATTATCGATCCTTTAAGAATTCTTCGTGTACCTCTTCCTCCTCTTGTTCTTTATCACCCTCTTCCGCTGCACCTGGCGAGTGCTGGTGACACGAACTGGCTTCGGGCAGCAGGTGTCATTAAAAGAGGAGCCAGTACCAGCCACCGTAATTACTTCATCGTCGGGAGCTCCTGCAGTCTCCCTCGCGATTTGCGATTGACTACTGTAGAAGGAGGACACGTGACATGGCCGGTACTGACGGTGAATGTGGAGGGATGAAGCGGAGGTTACGGTAATCTACACGAATAACAATTGATTCACGAGAAAAATGAAATGATGATTGATGTTCACTGTACATTAGTCAGGAAGCTTTTAGATTTTGAAGTCATGTAACTCTGTAAAACGAAGAAGGCGAATAGCTCTTATGCTTCGATAGGACACTTCTTCAGCAAGCTACGCGAGGGGTGCAGTAGATACTGATATTGAGGAGGCCATAGAAGGGCGTGAAGTCTGTGAAGCCCTTGACTGCCGATTAAGAGGTTGGATTACCCCGCAGGAGTGATACGGGTGGGGGTGGGAGAGCGCCTGCAGGGGGAAATCTCTGCTTTTTAATGGTGATGTGAGGGGGGTGAATGACGGGGTTTTTCGCGCAAGACTATTTTAGGATTTAAGGTATTTTGTCCATTACAGCCCCTCATACCTCCGCTTGCTTTTTACAGACGTAGAGCGGGGCTAAACGAGGTTCATTCTCCCTAAGATTTATGATGATATTATAATAATATTCTGTGTTGTACTATGATATACGCCGCTTTTTTTTTCTTGAATTTTTATGGATGCATATCTGCTTTTATACAAATTTCTTGAATTGCACATTAAATTTCTACACACGAAATAAGAGCACCTCTTCGTTATCTTGTCTCTGGTTAATTATACCTGTATTTAAGTTGCATGATAACTTGTCTTTTTTACGGAAGAAATCAGATATGTCAAGCGATATATGCATAAATTTGCATGTACTGTTCTTTAATGAGATGAAGTGAATATGTTGAACAATACAAATAATTCTCCAATATAGAAATATTTGATGTCGTTAGTCTCTCGACACACATTCCAACACTTTCATATTATTGGAACCTTCGTCTACGTTATGTAGTGACCCTTCCTATCCTCACAATGTCTATTAATCTTGTCTACATCCCATTTTCTAACACTATATAATCGATTACTGCTGCTATGTAAAGCTATTTCTTTTATGTACTGTATGACATGTATCTTTTTTAATATATTATGGGTGCATTACCCTCCCTTGTACTATAACTGTGTAACATTACTGACACTGTGTCCTCCGGCAGGCATCCGCTGTTCCCCTTGTTGGCGTTGATCTTCGAGAAGTGTGAGCTGGCGACGTGCACCCCGCGGGAGCCCGGAGTGGCGGGCGGCGACGTCTGTTCCTCAGAGTCCTTCAATGAGGACATCGCAGTCTTCTCCAAGCAGGTGCGACCACGCCCTCAACACCCAAGCTTTTGGTCACTCCACGCCCGCGCTTCTCGCCCATGGGTCCCAAATGGGCGCTAGCGCTCTAAGAGATACATGGGCGGCGTGGGCGTGCCAGAGGTCCCTAAGTATGGACCCACCACTGCAGCGACAGCGATATGTTTCATGGCGTTATTAATGCAATATTTGAGTGGCTGGTTATAACACGTGTGATATTGAAGGAAACAAAAAATATTACTTTAGCGCTTATGAAGAAAATATATAAATATAGCTAATGTAAAGTGATGTTTACTGTTTTTGAGCACAGATAAAATAGTGTCCATTGTGGAGTAATTATATTAAAATATGTTGATAAGAAACTCACGTGTGCGTTGTGCAAGCATGTAGAACCTGAGAGTGTAGACAAGAACTAGTGTGTGAAGGAATGAGTGACGGCAGAGCTCCACCAGCAGACATCATCGCTTCAACAATAACAAGACAACCATCAAGAGGAACAACAACAGATGGATGATACCGGATAAGTACCCAGATAACAGGATTAGTTTTCCTCTTAAAGCGGCTGACTCTTGTGTATATGTGTGAAGGGTGGGGGGCGGGGGGCGCTTTGGACAGTTTCACTGGCGACAGGAGTCGTGGCTAGGCTTAACAGATTAGGTCTTGGCGCGCTGCAGCTTCACGAATACTGAGACCAAAGACTGCAGTTAAAGTTTTTATTTTGTTTTGAGAGAGAGAGGTTAGTACGTTCATCCAGACGATTGAGAAGTAACTACTTTTGTCTTAATTACACATTTTCCTCATTCTGTAAGTTTATATACTGTATACTATAAGAAAGTAACACTGTCGTTAGCTTCGATGCGCGTACATATTTACCGTGAAATATGACCATTGTTATTAGTGATATTTATGTTATTATTTACGTATATTTTGAGATGATTAGTGTGTAATCATACACGAGTATTAAATAATTGAAAATTATATGGTACATAATTAATATTAATCTTCAGCTCATACGTTACTTGGAGACGAGATAACTGGCTCATCCATCCACGTTAGGTGATGTGTGGATGTTGAGTACGTGATGGAATATACTGTACGTGGCCTCTTTTCACCGATCTTGTGTCTTAACTTGCGCTGCACTTTTATTTATAATTGTGAGTACGTAACCCTGGAGTGATCCGGTGGATTTTAATGATGTACATAATGTGTTTTGTCCGAGCGATGTTAAAGCGTATCTTGTGAATTTGTGTTTGTCTGTACGTAGTTGACAATGTTTAAGAGGAGCAAGGAAAGAGAAGAGGATGTTTGTGTTGTTTCCGGCGGTGGGTGACGGGATGGTGGGCAGTGGAGGAGCCGCGTGTCGCTGGCCCCCCGCCGGGGTGACAACCGATACACCACCACCCAGATTAATCCAATTTAAAGGCTGAACAATTCCGCTCTCCATCGCTCATGCACATTTGCCTGCCAACCTTCTCTGGCCGCTAAATTATGAAGATGACCCAAAGGCGGCGAACAGAGATGAAGATAATGAGTTAAGCGGGTTGTGTCGGGTCAAGTGATGGGTCAGGTCAGCCTGGGTGGGGCCTCGGGTCAAGCCAGGTCTCCTAGGCCGAGGGTGAGGTCACCACCTTCAAGTAACGTGAGAATTATATATTTAGAAATCTCTCTTCCCTTCCTCTCCTGAGTGGGAAATATTGTAGCAGTACCGGTATAGTACTGTACCATTGCACACACCTACAATATAGTGTCACTATATCCACTATAGGAAGGAACTGGTTCACAAATAGGGTGGTGGACGAGTGGAACAAGCTTAGCAACTTTGTAGTAAGTGCGGGAACTCTGGAAAGTTTCAAAAGGAGGCTAGATAGATTCATGGATGATAGAGAGTGGTAGTAACTCTCGACAGGAGCTGCCATGCACAGGCCAACCGGCCTATTGCAGACTCCTTATTTTCTTATGTTCTTATAGTACAACTGTACCCACTATAATACCATTATACCTACTAATCCACTATAGTACCACGGTACCCATTATAGTACCACTATACCCATTATAGTACCACTGTACCGACTTATAGTACTGTACCACTGTACCAACCTTAGTACCACTGTATCCACTATAATACCACTATATCCACTATAGTGTCACTGTACCCACTTAGTATGTCACTATACCCATTATAGTACCGCTGTACCCACTATAGTACCACTGTACCGACTATAGTACCACTGTAACCATTATAGTACCATTGTACCCACCTATAGTGTCACTATATCCACTATAGTACCACTGTACCCACCTATAGTGTCACTATACCCACTATAGTACCACTGTACCCACTATAGTATCATTGTACCCACTTATAGTAACAGTGTTCCCACCCATAGTTCCACTGCACCTACTATAGCTACTGTTCCCAGTACAATACTACTGTACCCACTATAGTACCACTGTACCCACTACATTACCACTGTAACCACTAAATTACCACTGTAACCACTATATTATTGCTTCGCTACATTAGTAGTGTTGATAATGGTTCATTTAGTGTAGGGAGCTGGTCATCTGGCCGTGCACTACCGCACATAAATAACACAACTATGTATGGACTTTACAATATGACTCACCTTCTTTATGTAATGTGTTCGTCTTAAGAATAAACACGAATTCAAAATATCGATGTTTTTGACTTATTTGATATAATACTTCTGGTGACCTGCAAAATCCGGCCATATCAGTCGAGTGGTGGTTAAGGCTGCCTTAGTACTGGGAAAAGTAGTAGTAGTCCAATGAAATGGCGCGGTGGACTGGTCCGAGTTGCCAAATAACCAATTTATCGAGGAGAATATCGAAACCCATCACACACACTAAGTAGAAGCCAGACCCAACGGTATTTAACTCACTGAGCAGGAGTCTAGGCGCGTCATTCTATATATATATATATATATATATATATATATATATATGTATATATATATATATATATATATATATTATGTTTAAAGTATGTCATGGCATGGCATATATGACTGGGTCAGTTGGTTGTAAACATTCATATAGTTTGATTGCGTCGACCCCGTCCGTAAACTTAGGAAGGTTATTAATGACGGGACACTGCCAGTTAAGACTTACTCACATTAAGTATCTATGGGTTCACACATGGGTATTACATGTTATAGTGTTTCGAGGACCGAAGAGTTCTGGAGTATGACATCACTATCCAAGCACGTGGTAGAGAGCGTCGAGGTTCAGGCGGACATATTGAGGGGCAGGTGAATGAGGGAGAGGGATGGTGGAGGAGGAAGACTGATAGATACTGCGGGAGAGGGATGGGAAATAGGGCAGATGGATGGCGAATTGGAAAGAAGGATGTTTAATTGTAAAGAAGGATGGAGAGCCTGGATGATGTGATGAGTGAAATGAGAAGAAATAGTATGTGTGTGTGGAAAGAGACGGAGAAACACTGTGGAATAAATACTGGAAAGAGCTACGTGGGGCGGTCACGTGAAGCACCCCACGGACACATACATACTCACACACACACACCAGGTGGACGCGTCACCTGACCGTGGCCTGGTGGTCACCCGCCGTGGGTCAGTCAGCCTCCAGCCGCTGTGATGTAAATGTAATCCCGGATTCTTGTGGCGTGTCTATAATTGAGTAATTATGATAATAACGTCCAAAGGAACATTAACACTCCTAAGATGATAAATAAGGAAAGAATAAAAAAATGGCCAATCTCCATCATACTTCTGACTATTATTATATTCAGACAGTTTGTAATCTGCGACTTAATAAAGCAATATTTGCATGTTGCCATATTTGTTGTAGTTAAGTATCAGAAGGTCCTGGCCCTGAGCTAACAGTGTATATACATGTAAGGTGTTTGGATTAAATATATTTTTCTTATTCATATTCGGGAAATTAGTAAACTGTTTGGTGACGTCATAACATAGGCTCCTATATGATATAAAAAATCGTGATCAGTGTTTTGAATATTGACTGTGAATGTGCGCATATATACAGTACCATGTTATTTTGAGAGTAATGTATAATGTTAGTCTGTGCGTCTCATTGACTTTGTTACGTTGTTAAGTAACACTTCTGAGTCGCGAAGATGAAAGAGTGTATTTCCACAAAGTCCGGTATTAAACGATATTATTATTAGCCACTACAGGTAATCGCCACTCGGACCACCAGCAGTTACATGATAAGAATTATTATTAAAATCATTATTGCAGTAAAACTCACCAGATAATTAATGATTAATGAAGATAAGACCAGTAATGAGTTAAACCACGGACGGATTATTTGTTACATGTAGTTAACATAAGATAACGGAGGTATTCGTTTTCTTGATAAATTACTGTTGTTATAATAATCACTGTATTGTAATGCAGATAGTTAATATTTATGTATTTAGAATTAAATATCCTGACGAAAAGCCGGCAGTAACCTTAATTAATGCTAGCCAGCATGGTCCCCAGGGTAGTGACCAAACGCCTCACACCGCGCCGGGAACACCACTGGGCGCTAGCTGGGTTATATGCCACTGAGTACAGGATCTAGGTAAAACTTACACTCCTCTCTGATAACACTAACTTCTTTCCCTACTAGTATCTCCCCCCCCCCCTTTACCTTCAATAATAGCCATATTCTCCCTCTCGTGTACTGAGAATTCCGAATCCTTCGATGTTCAGCGACAAAAAAAATCACGGCTGGTTTCCATATTATCTATATTGAAATGATTCCTGACCTCTTGATGTAATGCGCAGTGCTTTACTCGTGAGGAATTAGTATGGTAGGAAGTGACATAGTGGTAGCGGTGGTTGGCGCGGTGGCCATGTGCATGGTGGTGTTGTGTTGTGGTTGGGAATTGTTTTCATAGATTTTCTCTCCGTAATCTATTACTTTGTTCGATTGTGGTATTATAATACACAACGCTTTAGTTTAAATTTAGTATTATTTGTTGTTACGGAAATTAAAATCAAATGAGGATAAAT